TAAAAAGAAAAGAAAAAAAATTACTATGTAATAAGCGAGGAAGTTATACAATAAAAATAGTATGAATTTAAAACAAAGATACAACACTGTAATATGGGACTCAGTTTTCAACATGTAGACAATTAAAGAGTTATCCTTATTACACTAAGAAAATTTTCTATACTTAAATCGGTCTGTGGTAGTCTGTAAAATTACTACACTTTTACAGTAAAAGTAGTAGTCTTATTTAAAAAAAAATTATTCTATAGTGCACTTAATATTAGGTATACTGGAACTAGGAAGATAATGGAAGCATAGGGAAGATTTTGAATTTTAGAAGCATATGAACATGCACTTTTATAGGCAAATAAGAAAAATCAAGTTAATATAATCCACAGATACTAGAATTATTAGCCATCATATAGAAAATAATAATAAATGCCAAAAATGGAATTGTTAGCACATAAGAAAATTTACTATCTTTGTCTATTAGACAAAACCCACTAGGGAGCTCTTTAATATATACCACTTTGCACAATATACGCTACACTCCAGTCCCTGAAGAAACATACTAGCTAGTGCAGAGATAAGATTAATATAAATGGCATTTTTTAAACAATTAAGAGAACTTCAAAACCTATTATTTCCATATGATTCCGCTTCAAACAAGCTGTACTGAAAATTGAAAATGAATGAAAAAATATTTTGAGTATACATTTGGTGCCAAGTCCCTGACTAACCCACAAGTGGTACATGTGCACAATGGACCTGAAGAAGCAAAACAAAAGCTTTGAAGACTGAATTGACACTGAAACCATCACTACACAAAACGATACAGAATTTGTACTCTGAATTTAGACAGGTTGATTGCATGCAAAAATATGAAATAAACATTTCCCATACGATTTTAACAGCACCCTTGTAGTATTAAAAATATATCAGATACATTTCTAAATTACCCCATAAACAAAGAACCAGAATATTTAACTCAAGAAACAGAAAACCAACAGATGAGAATCTCATGACAACATGAATGTTGGAATTTTCAGAAAAAGGTTTTAATGCAGCTATTATAATTGTGGAATAGGAGGTGAAGATAAACACTAGATGGGCGGAAAAAGAGAAGTATATAAATATATATAAATAATAAGAACCAAGTAAAAATTTTAGAATTAGATATTATAGTATCTTCAATTTTAAAAACTAAAAATCATGGATAGGGCCAAAAGAACAGAATGGTGATGACAAAGGAAAGATTCAGTGAATCTGAAGGAAATTAAAAAAAAATTCTACCTAGACATAGCATAATCAAACTGCCGATGGTCATAAGTAAAGAAAATACATTTCAAAAAGGAATGAAAATGAAAAACTGTTTTGCTACTTATGCCAGAGACTGTACTAGGTCGTTTTACCTGTGTCTTACCAGTCTCACAGTAACCATTACTTTAGGTATTATGATTTTCTCTTTCAAGATGGCAGTGCTGACTCAGAAAGTATTCAATGCTGCTAAGTAGTAGTGAGGGATTTACCAGGTCGACTGTATTGAAGTCCACTTTGTCCACTGCAGTCATTTTGTTTATATACCCAAACATTTTCAATGCACCTTTCTAATTATTCAAGGACCTAGTGTATGTACTGAGTATAAATTCATCCCTTACTGTTTCAATATAAAGTCAGAGGGGTATAATGTTACTCCTTCCTAGACTATATCATTTCAGCTATTAAAATAGAAGAAATTATCATGTTGAAGTTAATTTGCATCAATTAAGGTGCATTAGGTTACAGACAACAGTAAATAACTCAAGCTGATTGAGGCAAAACAAGAATTTATTGAAGTGGGGATGGGACACTTAAGAAAGTAAAGTAATAGATAAAACAGCCAGGTCTTAAAAAAAAAAAAAAGAGGAATTGAAGCAAGTCCAGTAGTAGAGACCCAATGGACTTAATTTGAGTTGAAGACAAAAGATAACCTACCTCTAACTCTCACAAGCTCTATCTTTTCTATTTTAATTTTCCAAGTTATCTAGTACAGATTGATCCATATGGACTGAGGCTGACAACCAGGTCAATCTTGGAAGCCAGTCCGTGAAGTAATGGCTTCACTTGGCTAGTCTGACTTGCCCATATGTGTGTTCAGAAGGTAGAGCCTCTTATTAAAGGAAGAAGAAGTTCTGGGCAGATAAAAGCAAAAGCAACTGTAATCCATCTCTTGGCTTCTGTGAACTTGTGCACACACAAGTATCCTTTCTGTTGTTACACATACATACCCATGGGGAACAACTGGACACAAATCTGGTAATTTCAAGGTAATCAAATATGTACACATACAGATTTCCCAAAGGCCAGTGTGCAGTTTTAAGCTTTAATAATTTCAGGAAGGTAAAGGCTACAAATTAGAAAGAACACCATTTGAAAGTTTAGCTATTTCAGTTTTCCTTTTCCTATATAGTTTTGTAAACTGTCCATAATACTTTTTTAATTTTTATTTTTTTGTTTCTGTCTTCTAATTGAAGATACTGGCGTGACAAAGGAAAATTAAAATTAATATCTGAAAATGTACTAAATTAAACAACTGTAAATGACATGCAAATAACTAAACATGCACATTGTATTTTCCAAAAGTTGGTATCTTTTACACTCCTAAAGCTATTACGCTTAAAATTCCATTGTGGCTTTTAGGACACGTGTATTTACACATGCCTGACTGTCTCAGATGAATTATACATGTTCCATCTCTCCTAGCATGACTGTGTAAGAAGGGTTTGTGCACCTACACATGAACAAGCCCAGAGAAGCCAAGGGGCGGGGTTTTGTCGCCTCTAGTTTCATTCGTGCCGTACCTTTTGCTCTTTCAATGATAAGAATGTCTGTCCCTCAGCCAAATGACTATGCAGGTGACTATATTAAAAGGGAGATATGAGGAAAAGTATACATTCATTTAAAGAAAACAATGTAGAAAAATATGTACTACTTTGAGAGAAATGCATGGGGCTGAGTGCATGGGAGAAGAGGTATTACAATCTGTACTATTTAAATTCTGTAATGTTCACACTTGTCTGCATCAAGCAGCATTCACGGATTTCATACGGGGGAGGTTAAGAAAGTTGGAGTGAAAGACAGTATCTGGGCTGGAGAGTAAGACTGTGAGCCAGGTGTCCAAGCTGACAATAAATGAAACAGAAGTGAGAAGAAAGAAGCGGAACTCAACGTGGGAAGAGAAATACTAGAGTATCTTTTTAAACCCTCTGTCACCTTAGCAGTCTCCTCCCCTAAATTCCTACCAAGTTGTCATCAGTCTTCTGTTCTACTGTTGATAGCTTTAAGTATAAAGACTTTTCTTCCTGTAGCACTAGTATCTACCTATACTGTCCTCTTCTCTACAAGGCAACAGTGCAGGTATTTTCAGTGGCCCCTGACTCCCTGAGGGCGAGTACCAGGAGCTGGAAAGTCTTTCCACAGGACTCCTGAGTGTCTAGTATCCTCAATATTCCTTAGGTTCCTCAAGACTCTATGTGGGCTATTTTCTCAGTTAGGTGCCGCATTTTACAGAGCAACTGAAAGCAGCTACAGGATGTGAGGCACATGTGTTTTCAGGCCAGCCCTACCTTGATGCCGCGGGGCTCACAAGAACGGCTGAGCTCTTGCCAGACCATCGGACTGTGTTGGACACCATCGCTCAGAATCTTCAGGCCACTGGGTCTGTGTCGCTGTGAGAAAACCGAAACAGAGAAGGGGATCCATTCAATAAGGAAGCTTTTCTTACTTTAGTGACAAATGTTCAGCCACTCTCAGGATTTCCTGCAGGATACAGAAAATTCAGGAAAATTGCCAAGTTTCATTCTAACTGTGACTTTCAGAAGATGGAAGATGAGCCCTTGATTTGTTCCATTAACTAGAAAGACACATTCTCATTAATTGTAGTATATGAATCAGGCTTTACAATGTCTTTAGAGCTTTGTCTACGTTTCATTCCTCTGCCGGCCAAATAGAACAAGACACCTGATGCTGTAACAAAAGGAAAGTATCATGTGAGAATCGTGAACCTTCAATAAAAGGATATGGAGGTCCAGGAAGCAACACATTCAGTTAAAAGTTACCCGAAACAGTTCATGGCTTAAGGGTAGCCTCCACTCCTTTCCTTCCCTGGTGACACCTGACACTTTTGAGAAGGCAGTCAGAACCACTGGCTCCTACTATATCAGAAGGGAAATTTTTCTCATAAAAATAAAAAGGATTTGAATGGTTGTTTCCTTCAAGCAGTTAAAACTCCTCAGCAGTCTCCTCCAGGGGGTGAAAATCACAGAATGGAGTCTAAGATCTCACTCCCACCCAGAGAAAGGGTAGAACTATGACTGGCCTTCATACCAATCTTTTTCTTCAAGGACAGAAGGCCTGTCTCTATCTTGCCCTGTGCCCCCTGGAAGGGAGGCAGGCCAGGGAATAAACCTGGAGGGGATGTAAGTCTTGTGACCTTCAATTTATCTAGGAGTGGTGGGCCCAGCCCTCTCTGCCCTGCTCAGCTACTGGCAGGTCTTTAGTCCTGTTCCTTCAAAGGGCATAGACAGGAAACACTCCTGTTTAATTTGTTATCAACCAAGTATTCCACTTTCAAGTATATATTACTCAGAAGGGAATTCTTCGTTACAGTTATCATGGAACCAGGGGAGGCATCTGTGGTGGATGCCACCCTTTCTTAGAACCCAGCATCCCACGTTTCCTTGACATTCTCTTATCCCTGTGGTCCTCACCTCTTCTGCAATCTGGCCCACAGCAGCTTCCACTTCCAATTGTAGTGGTGGAGAGGGTACAGTGATGCTTATTTTAGTCTTGCTCTTCCATGTGACGTGAACTGCCTTCTCCTCTCTCCTCAGGAGATCAGCGGGCTGTCTGCTCCTCTTGGTGGTGAAGTGGTAGATACGCATAAACAAAGGTGGGTACTATGGCTGCTTAGAGAAGATAAAGCCTTCTCGGTAGTCTGGCCTCCTTCACTTCCTCTCTTTTAGGGCTGAAAAACAGTCTGTTTATTTATATGAGGATATCTTCATGCCAAAATGTTTTTCTTCATGGCATCCAGATGTTGCCTTCTTGATTTTCTTCTTCTTCCTCCTCTTCTTCTTCCCTTTCCTATTCCCCTTGCTCTTGAACCAAGCCAAGGCAAGATGGAAAGCATGGCAGCTAAAGCCCTCATTGATCCCACGCTCCACATGCTCCTGAAGGACCTCTAAGCTGGGGAAGACCCGGCAGCAGCCCATGCACCTGAAGCCAGTATCCAGAGCCACCAGCCATTCAGGCGTCTTGGCCCTGGAACATTCCTCCAGAGCTGGAGGTTCTGCTGGACTTTCCTTTTCCCTTTCCTCTTGGGCTTTGCTATCTGAGATGAACTCGGTGTCAGTAAGGAGCTCCTTTGTAGATACATGACAGAAGATGAATGCTGTGGCGACCTTTTCAGGACAGGTCATTTCTTCTATTCTTATCTTCTTTGAAGAAGGTTTTAATCCTTCCCCAGTATTCCATGAGATAGCCACACCCCTTTCCAACTGTACATGCATATAGTAAATTTTCATGAACCTTTTCTCTTGCATATGTACTGATGACACAAAGGACTCATTGCTATTAACCAAATGAAATGGGAAAGAGACTTGTGGAAAAGGGGAGGAAGTCTCCCATTGCTCCAAATCCTGGGAGAGAGGCATCTCAGGGGATTCAAAACAGGAAACAACTTGATATAATTGATGGATTCCTAGGAAAGAAAATTTCAAACATAAGAAAACTAGGATAAGTATGGGAAGTTTACAGGAGTTAAGATGGCAATGAAAATATTCCTATATGGCATGTGGAGTGTAAGTCCACATACATGTGATACTTCAGAATTCTGGGTGGTATGATTTATTTGGCGTGTATGCATGGTTTAACAATGTGAGAATGAGGATGTGGTGTGTCTTGAGGTGTTGTATGTATGTTCTCAGACATATCTGGTGTTTTTAATGTTGATGAAAGGGGACGAATAGGTGTGTGCATGTGTGTTATATGGTGTTACAAACAGGCACAAGAGTGGTACATGTTCTTACTGTGAGATAGTAAGACTTAAGAGTGTCAGAGCAAACACATGTGAGCTCTCAGAATGTGCCTTTCTATGAAGGACTGAAGGTTCTGTGGGAGAAGTAATACATAGATTAGAAAAACTGTATATGAAAGCACATTCCCTTCAGGGCATATGAGTTTTCTTGAGTCTGACCTAGCATAAGGAGTTCAAACAGGTTACACACGTGAAGGGATGTGATGTAAGAGATTAGTGTACAAACAGGTGAATCCGAAAATGATTATGTGAAGGACTGAAGGGTGTACCTATGTAATGCTACTGGAGAATGGGGAAGATAGATGAAGACTAAAGCTGTGTGTTATTTGAGAGAAAAAATAAAAGGAAGGAGAAATAGGGCCGTATTTGGTCTGAAGGACTCTATATACACTGTGTGAGTGTGTGAGGAAGAGTTTGTGCTGATCTGAGGAGGAAGGTTCTGATTAATTTCCCGTGCACATATCAACACTGCCCACGTAGAGCTGTCCCAGGATTCACGTGTTGAGTATCTGTGCTGAGAAACTGTCCTATCCCTGAAGGCACACTCTCTTTTTGTCCCTTGGAAGAGTCCTAGTCCCTCTGCCCTGAATCCCTTTTTTGTTTTTGAGGGGAAAGTGAAATAAGTAGGGATGGGCTCAATAGTTCTCCTGTACTTCCTTCCCAGTCTTCAGTCCTACCTTTGTATCTTCCTTATCATCCTCATCAGCAAAAATAAGCTTTCGTGCAGAGACACAGGAGAAATATTCTGAGGCAGAGGACTTTCCCCTACGAAACTCCATTTATCTCAAAATACAAATAAACAATGATTAAAATTGTGTATGTGATGGATGCCAGTGGTGTTGAGTATCTTGTATGTGATATTTCTAGAGGTGTATACAGACTATCAAAAACTTAGAACTATGCCTGAAATATAGTATGTAGTCACTAAAACCTGGATATTATTAGCTCAACTTTCCTTACCAGAAACTGTTCAATTGGAGGATATGGGGTTTAAGTTTAATGAAGAATTCTGTACGTATACCTATCAACCTATATTGATAGCTATACTGACATAGATATATAGAGAAATATAGATGTAAATTTATATATATGTATATATACACACATATATAATGTATACATGAATAAATATGGAGAGAGAGATGTAGAGATTACAAACTAAAGAATGTCTTTCACCATCAGGCTCTACAAGAATTAGCCACTGTAATCACTGACCTTTAACACACACTGAAAAGAGCTCAGGGTGGAGATCAGGAATGAGACACTCAGTGTTTCGGGACACACTGGCAGAACAGGCCTTCAGATAGTTACATATTTTCAGGAAAAAATTTTGTGAACTCAATTTCTTGTATTTTCTCATACTCAGAAAAGCACTAAAATTATTAACAGAGACATCTAGATGTTCCCTGTGACTACCAGCAATCTTCTTGCTACTAGCAGCAACCTACCGAGATGTTCAATCGATTGCATGTACCCCCTTCACCAAAATCACATATATAGTGACTTCCTCAACACCTCCTCAGACCAGCCCTTCAGAGCTGTCCATCTCATGGGCTATACTCCTCAGTAAGCACCAAACAAAACTTAACTCACAGCTCTCATGTGGTATGTGTAAGGGGGTGTGTGTGTATGTTTTTCAGACTCACAGCTCTCGCGCGTGTGTTTCAGTCAACAATATAAATTTTTAATTGTTCCTCAGGAACTTGCCGTGGTGCTGGAGATGCTCACATGAAGACTTTATAGTCTTGCCCTAGACTCCTGGAAATGTGCTTCTACATTTTCCTTAGATTTCTAATCTTCCCATTCAGATCCTTTAAGAGCCTCTTATAAAGGAAACAGAGATACCTACATGGTACATTTCTTCCCATAGATGAGAAACAGAGGCCTTAAGCAGTCCCTGAGAGAAGGGGTCATTTATGGCCATTGCTGAGCAAAGAGCTCAGTTCCAATTCTAGACCATCATGCTGACCCATCTGCCTGCCTGATTCTTTCTCAGCGTCTCCTCTTTCCCACACTCACTCATATCATCATGAACCAGCTTGTCTAGAGAAGAGGCACAGGAGATATATTCTGAGTGTGAATCCTCTGCTCTTTGGCTGTGGCCTTGGACGAACCCAAAAGGTCCAGACAGCAGGGTTTCTTCATCTGAGCCTAAGATTTCTAGGAAAGAGAAGGAAAACCAGATATAAGGTTTTTTTTTTTGACTTCAGCAAACATTCAAAAAATACCACGTACGATGACACACATGATACTTGTCCTCATAAAGCTTACAGTCCACTTTCTGTCCGAAGTCCCAAAGTACAGGCATACAAATATATTTGATAGAATAATGTGTCTGATTACCTGTGAGTACCCTATGCTGTTTTCTGCAGTGTATCAAAGGCTCCAGTTCTTCTCTGGTACATAGCAAGGTACCTGTATTATTCACCAAAAGAATAAATTTGGAGTATGCACACAGGTAAAGTGCCTCAGTTGATCAGCTGTGGATTATCACATCAAAGTTCTGCTGCATCCTGAGAGTTAGAATTTACAGGAAGGAATCTACTGACGTCTATTTCTCATCCCCAGCCCCCTCTTCTAGATATCTGCTCTTGTGCAATCTCACACAGAGGCCTCTGTTGCCAGAGCTTTGGGGAAACTGCTGGCTCTGAGCGTGAGTGAAAGACTGCAGTAGGATCTCCAAGATTGACTCCCGACAGTGGCTACAGCTCCCATCTCAGGAGCTTAATTACTCTTAAATGGCACATCCATCACCTGGCCTAGTCACCGCCGTCACCTTTCTTTGTGTCTCCTGTCCCACATGGTCTGACTCTGTTTTTCATCTATACTTAACTACGCTTACAGACCATCTTTAAAGTTTCCCAATTTCAGGTACGTTCCAGGTTGCTAGGATTTTCCTAAGTAATATGTGTATTTCTTGAATTAACTCTACCTCTACCACTGATTTAAATATGACACAAATACCTTCATTTAGTTTTTTTACTTAATCTTAATCTACATTTCCAATAGAAAGGGCTATGCCTTTAAATACATAAGCTTTAGCAAATAAATAGGTAAATTCTTGTTCCTGATAAAATAACTCAAACACTTTAAAAACGCGTCCTCTGTTTCAAAGCTTTAATTAAGCCTGTAATAGAATTACTTTTAAAACACATCTGGAGAGTGTCTGGTGGATCATGTTAGTGTAGAAATGGGGAAATTTAGTATGACTGGTATATTTTTTAAATGGTTGGTATGTATTGTCATATTTGGTGAGTATAGTCTGAGTTGTGTATGAGTCTGTCAGGTTTCTTCAACAATTTTAGGCAGTGAATGTAGGCATGAGATGGCCATTGTATGTGAAGGCAGTGTCAGTGTGATATGCTGGGTAACACTACAGCATAATTTTATACACGTATAGGCAGTACCCTGTTCATATATTATGAGTGATCTATGTGCCACTTACTATTAAAGTTCAAGTAGTTATATAATATCTATTTGATTTATATGAGAGACAGTGTAGTTCTGAGTAATTTGTGAGACCTGTTGAGACCTTGAAAATATTACAGACTGACCATGAGAAGGACAGATACAAGGGAGATCATGTGAGCCTCTAGGTTGTGGAATTATTGAAGGACATGCTGGGAAATGAGAGGAATTTTAGAAGGCATCATATGATTTTGTTAGCTTCATGGATTTTTAATATAAAATATAGAGTTCTACAAGAATGAGAGTATTTGTGTGAGACTGTGGTATTGAAAGAAGAAAGAAAAGAAAAAGCAAATTTAAGAAATGCATATACTGCAAAATGAGGGTGTGAAGGTTTAACACATGAGGGGATAGGCTTATGAGTGTGTCTGAGAACATAAGGAAATAGGAACAGAGAATGGCGAGTGAAGGGTTGAGTGTTTATAAAGAGGTAAATGCAAGAGCACACGGTGCTGAGACTAGCTGTGGGCATGATGGAGTGAAGAAAGATGTGTATTTATGAGAGGAGGAAGTTGTTGGAGATCAGAATTTGGGGCCCCCTTTCAAATTTCTGCCGCTTCTTCACCCATGAAAAGACATATATTAAGGAGCTTTGCTCTTGAAGACAAAAGCAGAATCTACTGCTTCCTCCTTCAGTCCTTTATGCTGGATTTTGGTGCCCATTTCAAACTGGTTGTCAGAAATTTATCCACATTGTGACCAACAAGGTTTATCTTCTCAGGTTAGGATTGAGTTAAGTTTTCTTACTTCTCTGAGAAATCTGTCATTTCATTAGTTCTCCATCTTCTTGAACATAGCCTTGTTCTGATATTCTTGCGCTTTGGGATGCATATCCTCCTGACATTTCCCTTGAATCTCAAGGTTCTGTTTTATACAGATACAATGAGTATCTCCCAGAGGAGAAAGAGACTCTTGCTGGAGTCTGAACTGGGGTTTGTATCAGCTTCTATCTCCTATCAGTTGGTAGACAGGAGATCTCAGCTGACTCTCTCAGTCAAGCTTCTATTTCCCTTTCTATGCCTCATCCTTACCTCTAGCTCAGACATCTACACTTAGGTGTATTCATGTTGTCAAAGGAGACAACAGGAGAGATATTTTGAAATAAAGGTATTTTTCACTTCCTTCTGAGGAATATGACCAAACTGTATAACATCCTTCTGTTCCTCAAAAAAAAATTGTTAAATTGAGTGAAAATTAAACAGATATACGCAACTTACCACTTTTTTCCCCTTAATAGAAGCACTGGGGATTGAACTTAGGACCTCATGCATGCCAAACATTCGTTCTACCACTGAACTATACCCCCTACCCCAGACTTATCAATTTCTTTTTTTTTCTAAACATTTTTTATTGAGTTATAGTCAGTTTACAATGTTGTGTGAAATGCCAGTGTAGAGCACAATTTTTCAGTTATACATGAACATACATATATTCACTGTCATTCTTTTTCGCTCTGAGCCACCACAAGACCTTGTATATATTTCCCTGTGCTATACAGTATAATCTTGTTTATCTATTCTACATATGCCTGTCAGAATCTACAAATTTCACACTCCCAGTCTGTCCCTTCTCACCTCCCTCCCCTTTGGCAACCACAAGTTGTATTCTATGTCTATGAGTCTGTTTCTGTTTTGTATTCATGTTCTTTTCTTCAGATTCGACATATGAGCGATCTCATACGGTATTTTTCTTTCTCCTTCTGGCTTACTTCACTTAGAATGACATTCTCCAGGAACATCCATGTTGCTGCAAATGTCATTATGTTGTCGGTTTTTATGGCTGAATAGTATACCATTGTATACATGTATCACCTCTTCTTTATCCAGGCATCTGTTTATGGACATTTAGGCTGTTTCCATGTCTTGGCTATTGTAAATAGTGCTGCTATGAACACTGGGGTGCAGGTGTCTTTTTGAAGTAGGGTTCCTTCTGGATAGATGCCCAGGAGTGGGATGACTCGGTCCTATGGTAAGTCTATTTCTAGTCTTTTGAGGAATCTCCATACTGTTTTCCACAGTGGCTGCACCAAACTGTAGGAGGGCTGCACCAGCAATGTAGGAGGGCTCCCTTTTCCCCACAGCCTCTCCAGCATTTGTCATTTGTGGACTTTTGAATGATGGCCATTCTGACTGGTGTGAGGTGATACCTCATCGTAGTTTTGATTTGCATTTCCCTGATAATTAGTGATACTGAGCATTTTTTCAAGTGCCTATTGATCATTTGTATTTCTTCCTTGGAGAATTGCTTGTTTAGGTCTTCTGCCCATTTTTGGACTGGGATGTTTGTTTTTTCTTATCAAGTCATATGAGCTTCTTACATATTCTGGAGATCCAAGCCTTTGTTGGTTTCATTGTTTGCAAAAATTTTCTCCCATTCTGTAGGTTGTCATTTTGTTTTACTTCTGGTTTCCTTTGCTGTGCAGAAGCTTGTAAGATTCATTAGGTCCCATTTGTTAATTCTTGCTTTTATTTCTATTGCTTGGGTAGAATGCCCTAGGAGAACATTTTTGAGATGTATTCAAGATACTGTTTTGCCTATATTTTCTTCTAGGAGGTTTATTGTATCTTGTCTTATGTTTAAGTCATTGATCCGGTTTGAGTTTATTTTTGTGTATGGTGTAAGGGAGTGTTCTAACTTCATTGATTTACATGCTGCTGTCCAGTTTCCCCAACACCATTTGCTGAAGAGATTGTATTCCATTGTATATTCTTGCTTCCTTTGTCGAAGATTAGTTGACTAGAAGTTTGTGGGTTCATTTCTGGGCTCTCTATTCTGTTCCATTGGTCCGTGTGTCTGTTTTTGTACCAATACCATGCTGTCTTGTTTACTGTAGCTCTATAGTATTGTCTGAAGCCTGGGAGAGTTATTCCTACAGCCTCTTTCTTTTTCTTCAGTATCGTTTTGGCAATTCTGGGTCTTTTGTGGTTCCATATAAGTTTTATTATGATTTGTTCTAGTTCTGTGAAATATGTCCTGGGTAATTTGATAGGAATTGCATTAAATCTGTAGATTGCCTTGGGCAGTGTGACCATTTTAACAATATTGATTGTTCCAATCCAGAAGCATGGGATAGCTTTCCATTTTTTTTAAGCCGCCTTTAATTTCCTTCATCAGTGGTTTATAGTTTTCCATGTGTAAGTCTTTCACCTCCTTGGTTAGATTTATTCCCAGATACTTTATTACTTTGAGTGCTATTTTAAAGGGGATTGTTTCTTTACTTTCTTTTTCTGTTGATTTATCGTTAGTTAAAGAAATGCAAGTGATTTTTGTACATTAATCTTGTAACCTGCTACCTTGCTGAATTCTTTGATACTTAAAAGTAGTTTTTGTGTGGCCCTTTTAGGGTTTTCTATATATAGTATCATGTTATCTGCATATAGTGACATATAGTGACCTCTTCTTTTCCAATTTGGATCCCTTTTATTTCTCCCTCTTGCCTGACTGCTGGGCTAGGACTTCCAAGACTATGTTGAATAGGAGTGGTGATAGTGGGCATCCTTGTCTTGTCCCAGATTTTAGTGGGACGCTTTTGAGTTTTTCACTGTTGAGTACTATGCTGGCTGTAAAGCAAAGATACTACCAAAAAAGGGAATTATAAACCAATATCACTACTGAACATAGATGCAAAAACCCTTACCGAAATATTAGCAAATAGTATCTGACAGCATATAAAAAAGGTTATACAGCAGAACCAAGTAGGGTTCATCCCAAGGACACAACGGTGGTTCAACATACGCAAATCAATGTAATACATCATATTAGCAAGAGAAAGGACAAAAACCACATCATCATCTCAATAGATGCAGAAAAAGCATTTGATAAAATTCAACACCCATTTATGATAAAAACTCTCACCAAAGTGGGTATAGAGGGAACATATCTCAACATAATAAAAGCTATGTAAGACAGACATATCAATTTCTTAGCTTGCCACATTTCCTCTATTTCATTTTTCTGAATATATTCTTTTTGACTATTTTTTTACATTTTATTTTTTATAGTTTTTATCTGAAAAAAGGTCATAGTTTCACTCTCATTCTCGTAAGACACTGACTGTTTCATATCCTCAGCACAGTAGTTTATATTGATGTCATTAGGTTTCTATTTCTGTCTTCCTTATTGCTATTGAGAAGTTTACAGTTTGACAAATCATCATTCTTTTCTAAGTATTCTGTGTTTCTCTCTAGTTACACTAAGGTCTTTGTTATTGGGTTCTGAATTTTTGGTACAGTGTGGATTTGCTTTTGCCTATCCTGTAATGAGTTTCCTAATAACGTTTCTTGATTCTAAAGATTAAGGTCTTTCATCAGTTCTGAACAATGTTTAGCCATTATCTCTTTCATTATTGGTCTTATTTTCTTTGTTTCATTTGTCAGAAACCTCAGTTTGACATACATCATATTTTCACATTTTATTCTCATTTATCTTAATCCCTCCTTTATCTTTCCATCTATTTATCTCTCTGATTTATGTTGTACATAATTCTCCAGCTCTCTTTCAGTTAATCAATTTTCTTTTCATCTATGTTTAATTTGCTGTTTTACCCATCTCCATTTTTATAAGTTATAGAATAGTATTTCTTATTTCTAAAACTTCCATCTGGTTATTTTTAAAATCTTTTTTCTTTATAGGGTTTTATGTTTTTACAGATTTAGTAATTTTAGACATTCTTATTTACTATCCCTATAACATTGTTCAATTATCTTCTTCATAGTTAAAACTTGTTTTTCCTAGTGTTTGCAGAACCTACTTTATAGTTATGTTTTTAGAGTTTTAAACTGTGAGCTCCTCTTCAGCAAGTCATTATCTATAGACTCTTGAGTATGATTGACTGATAATCCAGAACTCTTTTACATTTTCTGCTGTCAGATATTAATGCGGTACAATTAGCTACAACTTAATTTTATTAATTCTTCACTTCCAGGTTTAATGATTGGATAGCAATTGTGGACACTTTGCCTATGAAATCCATTTCTTCCCTTGATAAATGACATCTTTCCTAAATATGTATGCACAGAGTTACTCCCTTATTCCCCCAAAAGTGTAAAGTATTTGTGATGAGCTCCCACTGATGGTACAGAAACAGAGACCGACACTCTCAAATAAGAGAGAAGAAAATGATATGACTGGACTCAAAGTACACCCTTCTCTTAGTGGCTAGGTAGAAATGTTGAGCTGGATTCTACAGATGTGCTCAAATACCCATTGCCTTGATCTGCATAGACTTTAATTATTCTTCCTTTATCCTTACCAGCACAAGAAGGATTGTAAAATGAGGAGTCACAGGAGAAGTATTCTGTTTCAGAGGATCCATCTCTTGCTTCAGGGACCAAGGCACTGTACTTCCAAGAGTACCCAGATAATGGATCATATTCATGTAACTTTGAGATTCCTAGAACATGGAATAAAATTCATAGTAACAGTTAGCTTCATTCTGTTCTTCTACATTCTTCTCCCTAACCTAGTCTCCTCACCAACCCCATGGAAATACTTGCTTTGTCCTAACCCTTTAACTTTGGCAGGGAACTGGCACATTTCAGTAGTCTATGCCTCTATCTGGCTCCTGTCATCAAGGCTCCTAATACTCATTTATCTTGCTTAGGATTTTTGGTATCATTTGCCATCCTCTACATTTTGCCTGTGGATTCTTAGAGATTTACAACTTCAAATGAATCAATAGGTAAATTTTTTTTGAAGTTAATTATTCTTTTTATGATGTCACTGGCTCTGTTTCAACATTAACCAAGCTTACTGTCACTTGGTTAACTGTTTAAGATTATCATCTATCATGGGTGCATGTGGTATGTGTATTTTGCACCCTTTGTAACAAAATGGTGTGATTAAATACAATGAGCTTTGTGTGCATAAGTTCATAACATGTTACTTAAAACTGGGTTAGGTTTTATTATTGTGTGATTTGTTGTTTGTGAAATCAGAGGTGAGTGTGGCATGAGTGAGGACCATGTGAATTTCTGTTTTAGTTCAGCATCTATGTGTGTAGATTACATGTTGTATGATTAAGGATTTATGTTCGTGCTTTATATGTTGTCATGTGTTTTAAATGTCTAATTTAATTATTGGGAATATTCTCTTTGAGACTAGTGAGATTCATGTATTTGAAACCTAAGGGAATAATGAAAGAACATGAGGATATGGAAATCAAAGGCTGTAAGAGAAATAATGTATAAGCTTTGAGAGTATGGAACTATATGAAGATTCAAAGTAACTGAGGGCTCAAAAAAGTGTCTAAGAGTAGGTATGTGGTAACAGTTGACTGCATCAGAAAATAGACATGAAAGATTGAGTTCGAATGGGTTAAGGTAGAATATGAACACTAACGCCTAGCAGTTTAACTCTGAGGTATTCACCAAACAGAAATGTGCCAATATAGCAAAATACATGTAATAGAATATTCATATCATTGTTCAGGGTAGCCCCAGAATGACTGCAACCCAAATGCTCAGAAAAGTATAATCATTAAATAAATTGTGCAATGGAACATAAGCATCAAGAAAGAACAAACCACAGTCACATGCAACATGAAATTCACAAATACCATGACGAGTGAAATGAACCACACACATTATAGTAAAAAAACAAAGATAACTAGTCTAAGGTTTTAGAAGGCAGAGGAACTATCACTCTTGGCACCTACCAGGACGAAAACAGAGCACAGAGAACTGGGATGCATGTGGGAGACTGTAAGGAAACGAATGATGAAGACAGATAGTACAGATGGGTCTGTATAGGGATGAATGTGAGAACACTGGCTATAAAAATGCATAGATGCAATGGGGTCTGGAACTGGATGTTTCTGTACTCTATCTCAAGTCTGTATCTTGAGGATAATACCACTTATGCCTGTTTTAAACTGTTAGTGATTTCACACATTCCTCATAACATAAGACGCCACTGAATGGCTCATACTGACATTCTCTTCCATGTTTCTCTGCTAAATCTCTCATCTCCTTAGTCCATTTCCTTCAGGCTGTTTGGAGCAGAGCTATGGTTCACATTCAGTGTTGTCTGAGGATGCTAAAACCACACCAAGTGGAAGAAATTAACCATTTGGTGATCACGAGCACGTAGTCCCCAGACCCTCTGCCTAAGGACTGATCACCAACAACCAATCAGAATTGTGCACAGCTGATCACATACCCTGGGCCACCCCTCTCTCAGCTGACTTTTAAAAATGCTCCTTTTGGGGAGTTTGGGGTTTTTTTGGGGGGGGGCACATGCCACTCATTCTCATTGCTTGGTCCAGCAATAAAACTTTCTCTGCTCAAAAAAAAAAATTAAATACTTTTCTCCATTTATCTTTTTGGTCTTGCTCCAGTTCTATTAAGTTTTTTCCTGTGAGAATTTATTGCTTCCACTATTAATCATATTAAAGAAGATGGAGAAGCATTTTGAGTTTCTTTCTGTACTGAGAAGCCTTGAATGGACTGATGGGCAGAACCACTCAGCTAATCTTTAGGGTCTGACTCAATCCCAATTTTCCTTTGCATCCTGTTCAATAGTCTCTCCGTACCAGCAGCAGTGAGCTTGTCTTCAGAAGAGACACAGGAGAAGTACTCTGAAGAAGCCTCCCTTGCTTTCTGTCCTTGAGTTAAGGCCACTGCCATGCTTCTACACTGCATGTAATCTTCTTGTAAATTCAACTTATCTGCAAAATTAAATTAAAATCATATATACATGGTTTATGTTGGGTGTCCATGTATTTATCTAGCCATTAAACAAACAATAAAGAGTTTACCATGTGACATGTTTAATGAACACACATGACTTCCATCTTCATGGACAGCATACTTTGGTTCTCATGAAAATTTTAAGTGTATGATAATATTATGGTATCAATATATATCACGAGTGACTGGATTTGCACAAGGTGTGGTCTTTGTAAATGAAGCAGAGATTGCTAGCTGTATCCCTTCTACCTAGACACGTTACCAGACTGCGTTTATCAGCTTCCCTTTTAGGTAGTTCTGACCATATGATTAAGCTTTCTACAATGGAAAATGGATGGAAATGACATGTGCCCTGCCATGTGCTTCCTTTTTCTAGCTGATTGAGTGGGATGTTAGTAACACTGGATCTATTTGAATCTGCATATTAATGATAATAAAGTTTCCATCAGCCCTGGCCCATGCATGAATTATCTCTGGAGGAGACCTGCCCTATTCCTACATTATAAAAGCAAACGATTCATTTATAAATTAGTTACTAAGTCCTGATCTTTAACTAATGAAGTAGGGATGTAATGTATTTTTCAGAGTCAAATAATTGGATATGGTACATAGTAAGTGGGCAATTATATTAGATATTAATATCTATCTTCCTCTGGTTTATCTATGTTCTACATGTGTATATGTGACTAGGTATGAGTGTATGTTTTACTTCTCATAGTTCCCACTCAGTAACATCTCTAAACATGCTCTAACTTTGTTGCTGATGACATGAAGACAGAATCATTCTCCAGGACTCTCTCCAAAGGGCCCGCTGAAGTATGCAGAAGTCCCGAACATTATTGGAAATATCAAATTCCCTTCAGGAGTATGAGCTACCACTTGGAACTTTGAGATTGGCTGCAATCTGCCCCCCTCCCACCACTGAGCAATGGTTATTCCTCATCAGAGATATGGAGTATCTCCACAGTAACCAGAACCATTTCAGTTTCCCTCCTCCCTCCCCCTCTTTTTTACAAAGAGCCAAACTTTCTCTTCAATTCAATCATCATAGTCAGAATGTATTTTGCACATGTTGGGTGTATCCTGCTTTTATCCTTACATTTCATATAGGAGCCCCATTTACATCTTCAGAATCTGAGAAAACTATTTTTACTTCTGAGTAAATAAATTTTATATGACTTTATACTCTCATCGCTGCACAACTAGATTTAAGTGCTCAAAATTTTTTCCCAATTTCCCCCTCACCTCTATGAGCCATCCTTTCTTCTTCATTAACAGGAGAAAGCATTATTGGAAAACTCATAACATTATTTACTTAACCAATGCTCTTAGGGAGAAATAAAATAAAGTAAAAACATATTTTTAAAGAAAAATTGTACTAATTAACCACTGTGTCTGTGACACAGTAACCCAGAGTGGTGTGGTATAGGTACCGTTAAGTCCTAAGCTGCAGAGACAAAGACCTTGCCATCTGAACTTTCTCTTTACTCTCAGACTACCTGGGCCCTCAGGAAGACAAACATATCCACATCTTTCTCCCCCTCTCTCCTTCCCTCAGCAAAAATAGAAAACTTTTCCTTTTTCTTTCAGAAGGCAGTTACCTTTGTTCTGAGAATATGCCTAACACATACCTCTTGACATCTTGGCAAGTTCGGGGGAGTATGTACTTTCTAGATGTTTCCTTTTTCGTTTCCGCTTCATGGTTCAACTCTTTGGAGAGTGATTCAAATCAGGTGAATTTCTCCCTGAAACTCTGCTCTCAAAGCGTCAAAGTTGATAATGACAAAGAATCAAATTAGTACATTCAAGAACAACGAGTCATTTGAAAGCCTATCTCCTTACCAAATCACCTCCTGACCAATGCTTTAGAGCCATTATGATGTAAGTCACTGCTGAGGTCTCAGCAAGATTCTATGACTTGTAGATTACATCTATGCATTCCAGGGACCCAGCTAGTCACAGGACTACAAGACTGTGGCAACCCATTGACTAGGATGATTCCTTCTATCTAACGGAAACTATCATTAACTTGAATTTTTATTTCTTGTACCTGATATCAAAACCAGAGGCTAGCTGACTTGGACTTAACAAAGAAAATCATTGTATGTGTCTAGGGTAACCAAGTCTCTAAATCTCTCCAACAGTAGGTAAAGGCAGCACCTGAGAGAACTCGGCCTAGAACCATCCCAGTCTCAGAGAAAACAGTAAAAGTTATACATCATATTAGTAGTACTACTGAATTCATGTACAAATATGTTATATGTGAGGTCTATGTTGGTGTATAGGTATGGATTTGAGAACATCTCATAATTCCACACAACTCAAACATTTATTGAACTTCCCCCATTATTAAGAATAATCTCATGAATTTTTACAATCCATTGTCTCTTTTGCCACTCTTTCCCTTATCACTTTCCCAGAGGTATGGAGAAAGAAAAAGACCCTGGCTATACATTCCTGGCTCTCCCCACGAATCTTGTCAAGTCTAAAGATTTCATTTTCTAGGCTTCTGTTTCAGGCCCCAGTCTACATCTCCTGGAAACAGCTGGGCTCTCTACAGGGTTTGAAGTCTGCAGTTAGCTCCAGTCAACCTCCCACCCACCTCCTCTCTTACAGTATAATCAAGCCATGATCTAGCTTCCCTCAGTCTTCTTTATCCCTAGGAAACCATGACCCTGAATGTTCTCTCCCTTACCATGGGCTCAGCCTCTTCTTGCCACTGAATGAGAGGCACATTCACGAAGGCATTCTCAGTCTTGTTAGCTATCAGAAAAAGTAAAAGCAAAAATTAGATACTACTTTACATATATCAGATTGGTAAAAATTAGCTCAAACTATGCAAATGATTATAAGGTAATTATAATTATGGGTAAAAAAGGAATCTTATGATCTAAAATGAGGTAATAACCTATGTAGCTGGTTGGAGAACAATTAGCCAACATCTTATAAAATTAAATAAACACATAACCCATGATCCTACAATCTCATTCCATACAGGAATCTTTACAAGGATGATAATCATAGGATTATTTATACTAGCAGAGAGTTGAAACTTTAGTTTCCGACTCAAGAATAATGGATAAGCAAAATATGGTGAGTACATACTATAGAATTCATTTCCAAGAATAGAAATCAAGCCCATTAAAGTATGTGCCTAAAGAGAGGGGCATCAGGAACTGGTGATCAGAGACAAAAAGAAAATGTAATTCTACAAAATAATCATGTGTTCCCTGACCATGCTAGTGACTAAGGAGAATTATTAACTCAATTGTCAATAATTTTTAAACAGAAAACAAACAGACAAAAACTCTCCCCAAAGTAAAATGGTTCAGATTAAGTCCAGAGCTAAGAAAAAGAACTGTTCTAAAGATTCCACACTGTGTTAGTTTCCTATTGTTGATGTAGCAAATTATCACCATTTAGTGGCTTAAAATTCAAATCTATTATCTTTTTTTTTTTCAAAAATGTCATTTAAAAATTATTATTTTTT